GCACTGGCCGCTGCGCGCATCCTAGCGAACACTTCAGCGCGAGTCGGCGACTTGGGCGGGCGCGGCATCTCTGCAACGTCAACAGCAGCGACACGGCGACGATAGCAGAGAACGCTGGCGACGACGTTGACAAAAACGACGGCGCTGCCAGCGCGGGCGCCCATGCTGATCGCGCCGACGACGACGGCGGCGCCCGCGCGTTGGCGGGGAAGGTTTTGGAAAGAGTTCGGCGCGCGAGAGCGGCCGGCGCGCGAGAGTGGCCCGCGCGGCATTCTTCGACGCGGATCTCGCCTCCTCCCCCAGCACGGGCGCAAGGGCGCGCGGATGATGTCTGCGCGCGGCGCGGGAGGCCCGCTTGGCAGAATCCCATGGGCACGTTCAAAAACCAATGGTTTTCTCCAGAATCCGCAAGAGCACGAGCGCGCGCTTCTTTGCTTTGAAAACTGATGCTGCGAAACCATGTGTTTCTTGTTTATAACTGTCTTTGGGGCACTCGGTTTTGAAACCGCTGCGAAACCACAGAAAGGTTTGCGACTGATTTCGGCATGCGCGCGACGACGCGCGCGCGTGCACTTCGTCTTATCTGCTGCGGAGGATTCTCGCGACGGCACGCGCGCAATGGCGCTCGAACGTTTTCGACGTGCGACCGCGATGCCCGTTTGGTAGCATTTGCTGGAAACGCCAAGAAAATACTGGCGCTCCAAAGAATTCGCATGAGCGCGCGCGAGTTCTTTCTTCTAACATGAAAATCCGCGGTGCAAGACCTTTTGTACGTTATATATTTCGCTGGCACTCGGCAATGAAATCCGCGCAAAACCCATTGTGTTTTAGAGCTTGGCACGCACGCGCGAGAAGACGCGCGCGCGCTTCGCCCCGACGTTGCAACATGTTCTGAAGACGCGCGGCATTCGATCAACGAGCACGCGCGCAACATCTGCCGCAGAAGATGGCGGGGGGGGGCGGGGCAAATTCACATTTGGGATGGGCGACGCGGCAGACCGACGCGCAAATTGCAGCGCGAAAGGGGGAGGCGATCACCCAGGGCGGCGGGGGGGGGAAGGGGGGGGTAGAGTCTATTCTTTTTATAAAACAAACTGTTCGCAGCGAGTTGCCAATTCCACCGCCCGCGCAATCTCGCCCGCCCGCCCGCAACACGCTTTAAAAACACGCGCGGTGGCGACTGCGATGAGCGCTCAGCGCCGGCCAGTCCATCTCCGCGGCCGCGCCGACCCAACAGCGCGCGCGCGCGGCGGCCGACTAGTTCGGCGCGACCGACGTGGAAACGGCGGCGCTGACCGCCGGGCGCATCCCAGCGGGCACATCAGCGCGAGTCGGCGACTTGGTCGGGCGCGGTATCATGGCAAGATCGACAACAGCAGGCACGGCGATGATGGTAGCGAACGCTGGCGACGACGCTGACAACGACGAAGGCGCGGCCATCGCGGGCGCCGATGCTAATCACGCCGACGACGATGACGTCGCCCTCGCGTCGGCGATGCGGGAATTGGAAATAGTCTGGCACTCGCGCGCTGCCGACGCGCGAGAGCGGCCAGCATGGCATTATTTGATACGGGCCGTGCCCCCTCCCCAGCGCGCGCGCAAAGGCGCGCGAATGTCCCCTGCATGCGGCGCGAGAGGCACGCTTGGCAAAATTCCATGAACATGTTGGAAAGCCGATGGTCTCCTCAAGAATTCGCAAGAGCGCGAGCGCGCGCTTGTTGGAAACTGATGTGCAAAACCATGTGATGTGTCATGCTGTCGTTGTCTGCTCGAGTTTGAGCTCGTTACGAAACCGGCACGCGCGCGCAACAACGCGCGCGCACTTCGTCGCATCGTTTGCAAAGGGCTCTCGCGACGGCACGCGCGCAATGGCGTTCGAATGATTTCGACACGCGCGCGCGAAACCCGTCTGGTAGCATGTTGATGTCTATGGCTCTTTGTCAAGAACTCGCCCGAGCGCGCGCTGTCGAGGATTCGACCGAGCGCGCGCAAGTTTTTCGCGTGGAAATCAGCGCTGCACAACAATATGTGTTACGTTGGTGTTTTGGTGGGGAAACTGGATCCCGATATCCCTGCGACACTGGGAGTTTTTGAAAGATTTCGGCGCGCGCGTGCATTTCGTTCCTTGTTTTATTGTTCACAAGATGTTTGAAAACTGCCGACGTTTGATAGACGAGCGCGCGCGCCTCACATGCGCCGCAGAGGACGGCGGGGGGGCCAGCCCCCCTTGGCTGGCGCAAACTCATACTTAGGATGAGCGATGGGGCAGCGTCATATGTAAATTGCATTGCGAAAAATCGAGGTGTGGAGGGGTGGAGTCTATTATCTTTTCTAAGCAGATAAGTAATTTCTGTTCGCACTGAGTTGCCAATTCCATTGCTCGCGCAATCATCCCACCCACCCGCCCGCAACTCGGTTCGAAAAACACGCGGGGTGGCGATTGCGATGAGCGCTCGACGTTGGCTGGCCCATCTCGGCGCTGACCGCTGGGCATATCCCAGCGGGCACTTCAATGCGAGTCGGCGACTTGGCCGTCCGCGGCATCATGGCAACATCGACAACGGCAGGCGCTTCGACGATAGCAACGACACCGGCGACGACGTCGACAACGACGACGGCGCGGCCAGCGCGGGCGCCGATGATGATCACGCCGACGACGATGAAGGCGCCCTCGCGTCGGCGACAATGGTTCTGGAAAGAGTTCGACGCGCGCGCGGCCGGCGCGAGAGCGGCCCGCGCGGCGTTGTCTGACGCGGATCGCGCCCCCCCAGCACGCGCGCGAGGGCGCGCCAATGATACCGGCATGCGGCGCGAGAAACCCGTTTGGCAGAATTCCGCGCACATGTTGAGACACCCATGCTTTTCTTAACACTTCGCCAGAGCGCGACCGCACGCTTTCTTTGAAAACTGGCAGTGCGAAACCATGTAGTTCTGTGCGTTTCCGCACCCGGTTGCAGATTCGATGCGAGGCCGAGGGGCTGCAATAGATTTCGGCACGCGCGCGCGGCGACGCGCGCGCGTGGCCCATTTGTCGCAAAAGGGTTCTCGCGACGGCACGCGCGCGAGCGCGTTCGAACGATTTCGACGCGCGCGCGCGAAGCCCGCTTGGTAGCATGTTCTGGAAAGGGCGAAAGACGCATGGCAGGAGCGCGCGGGCAAGCTGTTCTTTGGAAATACATGATGCGAAACCATGCGTTTATTTACGTTGTTTGGACACTCGGTTTTGAAATTCTTACGAAACCAAACATATTTCAAGGATTTCGGTATTCGCGCGCGACGACTCGCGCATGCACATTTCGTAGCATTTGTTGCAACGATTCCTGAAAATCTATGATTCGTGATGAACGAGTTCGCGCGCATAGTGTCTGTTGCAGAGGATGGCGGGGGGGGGGACACTGCCCCCGCTGGGATGGTGCGAAAACATTTTTTGGATGGACGATGGAAGAGCCATGTGTGAATCTCGATACGACGAAGGGAACGGAAAATTCCGCCCTCGGAAGAGTGGTCGATTCGATTCTCTTTAAAGGAAGAATAGATGTGGTGCCACCTACGCGGCGCAACCTACGCAATGCAGTCTATGCGGTGCAACCTACGCGGTGCGATTGACGCGACGCAACCTACGCGTTGCAATTTATGCGGCGCAATATTCGCGATGCAATCTATGCGGCGCAGTCTTTGTGGCGCAACCTACGCGGTGCAACCTATGTAATGCAGTCTATGCGATGCAAGTCTACGTGGTGCAATGTATGCGGCGCAGTCCACTACTACTACTACTACTACTACTTTTACTACTACTACCACTACTACTACTACTACTACCACTACTACTACTACTACTACTACTACTACTACTACTACTACTACTACTCAGTCTATTACTATTACTACTACTACTACTACTACTACTACTACTACTACTACTACTACTACTACTACTACTCAGTCTACCACTACTACTATACTACTACTACTACTACTACTACTACTACTACTACTACTACTACTACTACTACTACTACTACTACCTACGACTACGACTACGACTACGACTACTCCTACTACTACTACTACTACTACAACTACTACTACTACTACTACTACTACTAATACTACTACTACGACTACTACTACTACTACTACTACTACTACCGCTACTACTACTACTACTACTACTACTACTACTACTACTACTACTACTACTACTGCTACTGCTGCTACTACTACTACTACTACTACTACTACTACGACTACGACTATGGCCATCAGTGTCAACGCCCATCGTATCCATCTCCCTGGAGAAATGCTCGTCCTCGCAATCCTCTGGCTGACCGAGAACTTCGCCCGTGTGGTCCGCGAAATTCGTGGATCCGCTTATGCTCTTCAGCTTCTCCAGCACTCGCTCCGCCGTTGACAGTGGCAGTCCATGATCGTCATCTTCTTCTTCTCTTTGCCGTCGCTCCACTGGAAGTTCGGCTCGCAACAGCTCGCGCGTCGTCCGTTTAAGCGCGCTGCCATGCACACACCACAACACTGACTGTCTAAGCTTGTTGGGATCGTGCGTGCACTCGACCAGTGCGATCGTCGCGGGTCCCTTCCAATGGTTCTTGATGAGGTCGCTCTCGCCTGTGTCGCGCCTCCAGAAGTACACCCACTCGCAGATCTGGAACTCTCTCTAGAGGGGCCGGTTCGTGGCCGCCAGCGCCTCCGGAACTGCCCTCGGTACGTTCGCCGCCACAGAAGCCATGCCTGCGCCCCGCCCGCGAGCCAGGTTGCGGTAGAACTCCTCGTCGCTTTCGCCGACGTCGCCCGCGGTTGTCGGCTCGTCCGCCAGGCTGCCGAGGATATTTGGCTGCCTTCCTAGCGCCCGCTGCGATGGCGTGAAACCCTCCACGCGGCGCAGCTGTCTGCGCGCGTCGCAGGTCATGCGCGCCGCGCGCTTCAAACAGTCCTACGACGCAGATCGCCGCCTGAAATGCCATCTTCCCCGGGCCATTCCCCACGCCGCGCGCGCGGTGTCCACCCTCGAGAATCACAAGATTCCCCTTACAGCCGCATGTCTTCCAGAGCCCATCGTGCATCTGCATCTTCGCGGTCCTCAAGTTGGTCGGCTTCCTGATCGGCCCGAGCCTTCGACCTGCAGAATCCAGCGCCATGAGTCCGTAGGCGCACTGGTCCACGAATGTGTCGTAGCCCGTCATCCCGCACCACGCCCCAGCCTCCCATGATGTCGCGTATCGAGGGTGTTCTATATGCGCGTGCCTCTGCGCCTGCTGCTGCGCCTCCTGGATATCCCGACTGAACTTCAGGAATTCGCGCTGCTGCTTGGCACGCTCTCCCCGTTGCTGCAGTCGGCATTCGCTGCTCTTGTTTGCTTCTGCCAGCGCGCCGATCGTAGACCATGAAGCGCACGGCGGCGCCACCAATACTTCTTCCGGCCTCTTCTTTGCCGGCCCCCGCATGAATGCCTCGCGACGCGAGCCGTTCATGAAGACCCAGCCGGTCTCCAACGTGAACTTCTCCGCCTTGACTTCGCCGCGCCTCTCCACGCAGCGCGCGGCTCGTCCGTCGGCCACCAAAAAATCTCCCACAAACCCCTCTTTGCCATCGGCTTGCTATCCAACGCGCGGTTGGTCTCTGCAAACCAATCCTCCAGCTCCTTCGCATCGAACTTCACGGTCTCCGCGTGCTCGATCTCGGCGTCGCCGTAACTGCTGGTCACAAAGAAGTCCGCCTCTTTCTCGCTTTCCTTTCCACCTGGCGGTCGCCGTCGGTGCCCGCGCCCGCCGAGCTTGACCCCCCGTCTGCCGCTAGAACATCGAACGGGAAGTCCAATAGATCGATGATCATATGGCCTTCCCCATTCGTCTCCATGTCGATCCACTTCTGCGGCTGAGCACCCAGATACATCACCTCCTCGTTGCGGTAGTCGGCCACCATGCCCCACTCCTCGAGACAGGGCCTTGCCACGAGCAGAGACACTCGACCTGGAACGAGGTAGACCGCGATCTGCTCCTTCGCGCTCTTCACCCAAACAGGGAAGGCCACCTGCTGCTTCGCCGTCGCGGTCTCGTCGCTGCCGAACCTGAACGTCTCGTGGCACCGCGCCGTCTGGATCTCACTGGGTAGGCCCATATTCTGCAATCTCCCACGCCATGCTGGCCACTCCTCGAGACCCATCACTGGTTTCATCCCTCCACTGTCGCCGACACCTGTGCCCGTGGCCAAGTTCACTTCTCCCATCGTCGTTGTTTCGGGGCTCGGTGCGATCTCCGTCATCGTCATGTCACCGTGCATATGACACAGCATCGTCGTCTCTTCGGGCCCATCGGCTGCTGCGCCACCTCTTCGTCGCTTGAATCGAGGTCCGCGCTGCTATGTCGCACCTGCTGCCGTCATTTTGGGCGAGCCATCCGGACGCCGTCCACCCTTGGCTCCACCCCTGCCTCCAAGTGGTGCTCTGCCACCAAATCTGCCTCTTGCTGTACCCTTGCTTGAGCTTCCGCGTGATTGGCCGTATCCCGAGCCTGCCCGCCCTCGTCCTTTTGGTGGCCGCACGTTGCCGGCCCGCGGTGGTGGAAATCCTCGTCGGTCGTTCATCGGTGCCACCACCGGGCAAAATCCTCTCGCTGCTGCCAACTCTCTCATCTTTGCCCGGGCCTCCGCGTAGTTCGCGAAGGCCTCCGCCGTCGCTTCGCATGCATCTTCGAGCACCTCGGGGATAGGCTCCTCGTCTTCCTCGTACCACACGGCATCCTCGCAGCACGGCTCATCCGGGCATTCGTCCGCATACCAATATGCGTCGTCTTCCTCTTCTTCGGCCCTGTAATTGTCGCCACCTTCGTAGCTCTTGCCTCGGCGCGTGCTCGTCGCTCAGTCGAGGTCCTTCCTGCGTGCCGTGCAATCGCCTCCAAAAATCGTCTTGAGAGGCTCAGTCACGACCTGCACCGTCAGCTTGAGGTTGGGAATCTGCCATCGCGGGTTCGCCGACCTCGTCATCAGTCATCATATGCCAGCCCGCCAGGAGGTCTGGTAGGTCCAGCCCAGCCTCTCGCAACTTTGACAAACCGTGGCCGTGTCATAGCACGTAGGCATTCAATGTCTCCCTCGGCAACCTCGCAAAGTCTCCAACGAACGCGCCGCATCTCCCTGGCAGCTCCACCTCCTGCGTGTCCTTGTACAGTACGTCCAACTTGCCGAAAATCTTATCAAATGCTTCGCTCATGTCCACCAGCTCCTGCAGTAAGAGGTACGCTCCTTCACTCGCCACGGCGTCGCCTCTGCGCTGACACAACCGCTGGAACACCGTCGCTGTCCTTCTGAAGTTGCACCGCAAGTCTGTCGCATCTGGGCAGCGTTTGGCCATTCCTGCGTCCATCTGCGGATCTCTGTCGCCTCGACCACGGTCTCGGCCTCCGTCACGAAAGTCACTATCAAATCGCCGTCGTCCAGTCGCGCAGTGTCCTCCGTTGGATCCGATGTGCCATCACCAGCCTCGCTTGCTGGCATTTGCTTGCCATTGCCTTTGGGCCGTGGGCCGCCTGAGCCGGAGGATCTCATTTTCCTGTGGTGAGTGCGTTCGCCCACGAGCAAGGTATCCGATTCCTTTTTGCCGCGGATCTGGAGCCACTGGTTCCGCTACCAATGTCGGTAGCACTCCTCTGGAACCACCGAGGTTCTCTCACACGAAGTAGGGAACCAAATAGAATATAATATGAAATAGAACGGGGATCGAAGAGATTCGCTCGTAGTTTTGATTGATTCAAGGGCCCGTCGGCGTTTGATAAATAACGGCGCCGGTGCGAACTCACGTGTGCGACGGCACACGTACATCAAATCACCACAAATCGTGCACAGCAGCGATTTACTGCAACACAAGATCATGATAAGTGAAACTACATTGGAACGGATCCTGTGCCATTGACAGAGGTCTACCTCGTCGTCGTTCGCGCTTCGGTCGTCGTCCGCCCTCGTGTCCTAGTCAGCCGTCGCGGTCGCCGCCAGCCAGGGCAGGGGCACAGCACACCACAAAAAGAACAGCCGCCGAGGGCCGCCGAAAGGGCTCTGAGGGCCGCCGAAAGGTCGCCGAAAGGTCGCCGGAGGGCGCCCCAATAACCAGCCTCAAACGTATCCCTATCCCTAAGATGGGCGAGCACAAAGCGAGGACAATCTTAGGGATAGGCCCTCAAAAACTGAGGGAATCCTTAAGATCGGCATCGAGAAGAGGAGGTGCCCAGCATAGGGATAGGGATATGTTCCAGGCTGGTAACGAAAGGCATCCGAAGGCCGCCGAAGAGCCGCCGATTGGCCACCCGGGGCCGCCGAAAAGCTTGCAAGGGCAGCCGGAGGCCGCCGAAAGGCCGCCGAGCGCCGCCGAAGGCCGCCCAGAGGTCGCCGACGGCGGAGGAGGAAGTGGAATAGAAGACGGGGCGGAAAGGGGAACGGGGGATGACGACGAGGAGATCGGGCGAGAGCGAAGGAGAGCGGGACAGAAGCAAAAGCAGGCGGACGAGGAGGAAGGAGCAACTATTTTCCGCAGCTCCCCGGGAAAGAGCGACGCGCAAACCGACCTGCAATCGGGAAACATTCAGCGAGCCGTGGACAGAGACAAGAAGGGCGCGAAATCGCCAGACATCTGAGAGGCGGGAGGAAGAGGCGAGGCAACAAAAAAGAAAGGCGAACATGCCGATCAGGAAAAGGGGAAGCAGGAGGCAGAGCCAGCAATTCGATCAAACACATCGGGGGCCCACTTAACAGAACGAGGGCCCACCTCGCAGGAACGCGACTCTCATTCAGCAATAACGAACCGCGGTCGAACATTTCGGGGTACAAGCCCCCCTCCGAACGTGGCAAATCCCTAACCTAATCTGATCCAGACCCTGTCGACACTGCGCCAAAACTGCCCTGACCCAATTAAAGCTAATGTGACCAACAGCTCGGCGACACCACTGTGTCACGCGAGCGCGCACGCTGTAACAAATGATGCACCAGAATAGGGCGACACAGCAACATGCATTGCAAAAGTGCCAACTGTATCGCTAATTCCTCTTGATCTCGAATGATCATGAGTCCACGTGCCCCCTGAAAGACGAGATCCCACCCCGCACAACGCTCCCCTCAACCTCCGCTCCTCTCCTCCCTCCCCGGACCCTCACCACTCCGTTCCTCCCATCCGCCAATCCTTGTGGATGCCACGACAATGGATACCCTAACGGTCCTATCATTGAATTTGAAATGTGTGCAAAATGTCGACAACCTGTTCTAAACATGTGTTAAACATGTGTTTGACATGTTTAAAACATCTTGAACACATGTTCTAGACATCTGGCAATTATTTGGCAACATGCTTCCTCTCCATGGATCGTCATCCACAAAACAATCCCCCCTTGCTCCCCCCTCCAGTGGCGTCCAGGTTGATCCTGTGGCTAGTGATCAGCACCTCGGCCGGGGAAGCCGACGCGACGAAGTCGTGCGCGGCCACTACCTGGTTGAGTGCGCCTGAGGCCCCGCCGCGGTCTCTTTCCGTTTCCCTGCCGCTGGGTTGCATCCTGCTCATCCTCCTCCCCCTCTCTCCCTCCTCCTCCTCCTCCTCCTCCTCCTCCTCCTCCTCCTCCTCCTCCTCCTCCTCCTCCTTATCCTCTTCATCATCTTCGTCATCACCATCATCCTAACCATAGCCACCTGGTCACCATCCTCATCATCGTCGTCATAATCATGCATCGTCATCAAGACCACCATCACCAACACCACCACCCACACCCCACCCCCACACCCTCCACCCCACCCCACCCCACCAGCCCATACGCACACACAAACACACATGTCCTGCTAATCATCGTCATCATAATCATCATCGGCAGCAGCATCATCATCATCATCATCATCATCATCATCATCATCATCATCATCATCATCATCAACTTCATCAGCAGCAGCAGCAGCATCAGCAGCATCATCAGCAGCAGCATCAGCATCAGCATCAGCATCAGCATCAGCATCAGCATCAGCATCAGCATCAGCAGCATCAGCATCAGCATCAGCATCAGCATCAGCATCAGCACCAGCACCAGCACCAGCATCATCGTCATCATCATCATCAGCAGCATCAGCATCATCAAGAAAGCGCCGTCGTCGACATCTTCGTCGTCGTCGTCAGCAGCAGCAGCAGCACCCCCCTGCCCCTGCACGAAACACCCTCGCAGCCCCTCTTCCCCTCGCTACCGCCGTCCCCCTCGCGGCTCCCTCCCCGCCACCGCCCCCCCTTCGCCTCGCCTCGCGGCCCCCTGCGGCGAGCCACCGAACACACCGACACGCTCTCCGAAGGCCTCACCCCTTCTCTCGCTCCGCCGCCGCGGCGACCAACCACTGGCCAGGGTGGGCCGAAGGCAGGGCCAACACGCTGGAGGCCGCGCTGCCAGAGAAGGTCCCGCTGCCATGGTGGAGCGCTGGCTTCCACCAGCCCAGCTTGCTGCCGGGCCCCTATCCGCGACCCATGAGCGACCGGGGGTCGTCGCACTCCCCCCCGAGCCTGTCTAGGGGGCAACGTGCGAACCCTACCCCACCCTCCCCCTCAGAAATCGTGGCGGGTAGGGGTAGGGTTCGCACGTGCCCCCCGAGCCGGTCGCCCCTTAACGCTGCTCCCGCAGGAATCAGAAAGCGGGTTGCGCCGAGCGGTGGAAGCCGGCGGCGTGCGAGGGCAGGGCCCAGGTCCCGAGCCCAAAGAAGGCGGCGGGCGGCCGAGAGCAGGACCGGGCCAGGGACAGGCAGGGACAGGGCCGAGCCAAGCAAGTTGGCGACAGCCCAGGTCACCTGGCTTCGCACAGCGCGCGCCGCCATGCGTGACGCGCGGTTATCTTCGCAGCCCTCGCGCCCCTGCGCCGCCCCCTTGGCTGGCGAAAGGCGGCCGCTCCGGCCCAGACCGCGACGCGCGAAGCGTGATCATCGTCGCGCCCCCAGGGTTGACCCAGGCCTTTGATGCCGGTCAGCGTGTCTTTGGCAACGCCTGCGGCTGCCACACGCCGCCTGCCCGCATCATGTGTCTGAGCCCAGAGGTGCCCGCGCCCTGTCTCCCCAATTAGTGCTTCGCGCGCCCCGCCTAATTCTTGACCGGAAGAGGCCCGCTCTCGACCCGCCGACCAACAAAAAAAATGTCTGAGCCCAGACTGCCCGTGGAGGGCTACCGGCAGGCATGCGGGGAGCCTTCGGCGGCTGCGGGCGTGGCCTGCACCCCACCGCTTTTAGAGGCTGCTGGGCGAGCCAGGGCGGCTGCCGAGCGGGCGGCGGGGCCGCGGCCGCTCCCGGCTGCGGGGCTGACGCGACTGCGGATGCCTCCCTCGGGGCCCACGCGCGGCGCAGGGCTGGGGGGAGCGGCGACGTGGCAGCAGGGCTGCACGGCACCCAGCAGCGAGCCACACACGGTCCCGCCGACGCGCCAGAGGATCCCGTCGGCGGGCACTGCTGCGGGCCACGCTGGTGGCGTGGTCGGGCGACACCCCCAGAAGCAGCGAGACGCAGACGGATAGAGGCATGCACCTGTTTCCGTGGCACGCGCGCGCGGCCAGCGCGGCCCACGGGCGGTGCGGGGGCAGGGAGGCCGCGCGGCCGCCTGGCACCCAGCGGCGCAGGAGATCAACGTCTGGCCGTGCTGTGCTTTCTTGTCTTTCTCTCTCTCTCTCTCTCTCTCTCTCTCTCTCTCCTTATATATATATATATATATATATATATATATATTCTCTGCCTGCGGACGGCGCGGGGGCCACGGGGGGAGAGCTGCGGTCGCGGCGCGGCAGGGCAAGAGCAGCCTGGCAGGAGGGCGACGGCCGCTCCCCGTGAGCTTGCCATCGCTCGGCCATTGATTCCCCGCGCACCTTGTCGGTCTCGTGAGCTTTCTGCTCGCAAAATGACCCAGGATGCTCCTCGATGACCCTCGCCAAAGAAAAATGCACACGCCCGAGCGATGCCAAGTCTGCCCCAGGGGGGGGTCACGGCGGCAGGCCGTGCCCGCCGCCGCCGACGCGACCGTGGCTGCCGCGCCCGCCGCCAGCGCCGAGATGGCCTTGGCCGCGCCCGGCTGCAGCGGTGCCGAGAGCGCTGCGCTCACCGCCGCGGCGGGGGCGGTCGCGGCCGCGCCCGGCGGCGGCGCCGCCGCGGATGGCGCGGGCGCCCGCAGCGCCGAGGCGGCCTGCGCTCGTGCTCACCGCTACGCGCCGCGCTGGGGGTCCCAGGCCAGCCACAGGCCGGGGCCGCGCGGCGGGCCCATGGGCGGCGCCAGGGGCGCAGCCCGCGCCCTCGACCACGGGAAAACACCGGGCAGCGACGGCTCGGGGTACGGCACGCTTGTGCGCGCAGGGGGGCGATCCTCGTCCTCCTCCTCCTCCTCCTCCTCCTCCTCTTCCTCCTCCTCCTCTTATTAGTATTCGTATTCATAGTATTCTTCTTAGTGTTATTATCAGTATTATTATAATATTATTAGTATTACTAGTGTTATTAGTAGTATTAGTATTATTAGTATTATTGTAATTATTAGTATTTTTATTACTATTATTACTAGTATTATTCGTATTATTATTATTAGTAGTATTATTATTATCATCATTATTACTATTATTACTATTATGAATATTATTACTATTATTTACTACTATTACTATTATTAGTAGTAATAGTGGTAGTAGTAGTAGTAGTAGTAGTAGCATTATTGTTAGTATAATAAATATTATTAGTATTGTTATTATTTCTATTTTAGTTATTATTATTAGTATCATCATCATCATCATCATCATCATCATCAACATCATCATCATCATCATCATCATCATCATCATTATCATTATTAATATTGTTATTGTTTTTATTATTCGTCTTATCATTGTTTGTTATTCTTGTTATTAGTATTACTCTTGTTCTGATTTGTAATATTATTCTGTATAATAGGATTATGGTTTTAATCATTATGATTCCTTTTCTTCTTATTATTAGTAGTATTGTTAATCGTCTTATTATTAGTATCCGTATGCGTCGTCTTCTTCTTATTGTTATTAGTAGTATTCGTCGTCGTAGACTTATTAAGATTATTCTTCTGAGTATCAGTAGTATTATTCTTCGTATTCTCATTATTATTATCATTCGTATTGTTCTTCTTCGTATCAGTATTACTCCTCTTATTCATAGTACTAGTATTCTTGGTATTCGTCATAGTGTTCTTCTTAGTGATCATATTCTTCGTATTCGTATTAGTATTATTCGTATTAGTATTAGTAGTAGTATTAGTATTAGTATTAGTATTATTAGTATGACTACTATTTACTATTATTATTAGTAGTAGTAGGATGCTTATTATTAGTATTATGATTCGTAGTAGTATGCTTCTTATTATTATTATTGATATTCCCAGTATTCCTAGTATTCTTCTTATTAGTCTAATTATTAGTATTATTCTTAGTGTGATTATTACGATTATTCGTATCACAAGTTCGATTCCTCCTCATCCTCCTCCTCCTTCTCCTCCTCCTCCTCCTTCTCGCTCCGCCGCACTCCTCCTCAGTCCTCCTCACTCTTTCTCACTCATCCGCACTCCTACTGTTCCTGCTTCTGCTCCTGCTCCTGCTCCTGCTCCTCCTCCTCCTCCTCTTCCGCCTCCTCCTCCTCCTCCTCCTCCTCCTCCTCCTCCTCCTCCTCCTCCCTTCTCTCCTCCTCCTCCTCCTCCTCCTCCCCTCCTCGTCCGCCTTCTTCTTGTCCTCCTCCTCCTCCTCCTCCTCCTCTCGCTCCTCCGCACTCCTCCTCAGTCCTCCTCACTCTTTCTCACTCCTCCGCACTCCTCCTGTTCCTGCTCCTGCTCCTGCTCCTGCTACTCCTCCTCCTCCTCCTCCCCCTCCTCCTCCTCCTCTTCCGCCTCCGCCTCCTCCTCCTCCTCCTCCTCCTTCTCCGTTTGAGTGGGCCCGCGCCTCGTAAACCGACAAGTGGGCGCCTGATGCGCCCACAGCGAGCGGCCCCGAGCGACGCGGGTTATCTTCACTCCCGCGCGCCCAGAACCAAGGGAACGACGGACTACCCACGTGGCATCACAGGCGCGGCGATTCTCGTCCGCGCGCGCACCTGCGTCGCCCTCGGCGGCCCTCCAGCAACGCGGGACACTCGGGCCGACGATCTCGTCGGCGGGTTCTAACCGCTACGCGGCGAGAGCCAAAGAAAAAAACGGCCTGTGGAGGGCACATGGGAGGGAAAGGCCCGAGAGAAAAACATTAGCCCAAATGGGCCGCGGAGGTTCCCCTTCCCAGGCACCCCCCGCTAAAACCTTACGTTCTAAGCTGCGCGCGAACTCCCACGCTTGAGTGGGCCCGTGCCTGGTAAACCGACAAGTACGTTCCATCACCGTCGCCATCGTTCCTCCCATCATCCTCGTCATCCTCACCGTGCTCCTGTTCATCGTCCTCTTCTTCCTCAGCACCAACAACAAGATCAACGTCAGCATCAACAACATGGTCGTCATCATCGTCATC